ACGTAGGATTTCCTTCAACAAGAAAGGATTGCTGCTTTGAGTGATCACGCACGATAGAGAATGATGGAGGTGAAGTACTAGCCAGTTGGCACCTAGCAAAGTTCAAAGTATTGTTTTAGTTAAGGTTAAAAGTATTGATACGTATTATATGGGAGCTTCCCAATATGCCATTACAGGATGTATTGGGGTTTCAACCAGTTCAAGGGGTGAACGGACAAACCAGCCCCTTTGAACCAGATTTAAAAAAAAAAAAAAAAAAAAACTATCGATACTGCCCGATACGCCTCTACCGGCGTATCGATATTTTAACCTTGGTTTTAGTGTATAATCCAACTATCGTGCATTTCGAAAATTTAATTGCACGTTAAATCAAATTTCAATAAATCATATTAAAAAACTTACAAGATTCATTTACTTTTCATTGGTTCACATCTCACAAGGTATATTTCTTATTACAGACTTTAATAATGTAACATGTTGCTTTATAGTTAGTGCAAAATAACATTTCACAACAAAATAGTTAGTGCAAGATAACATTCCTTAATGCCATCATTCATTCCTTTAATTAAATAGCTACTGCAAATATAAAATTACGATTGATTCATCAACCAACTCTTTTTTTTTCATTCACAACCAGTTATTTCAATTCTAATTATAATGTTTATACTTATAAGCTCAACACAAGGAGACCTGGATATGGATTTTAATTCCAGATCCCTACCAATAAAAAAAAAACAAAAAAAAAAAAGATTCCTACCATCTTAGACATCCATTAGTCATCCTACTCAATCATCAAGACCCCTATCAGTAAATGGCCACTACTCTCTCAATTATTGAACAAGTAACTGAATTAAATTAGATGGACAAGTTTGCTTTATAGCTTAGGTTTCAAGAAAAGTGATAAAAATGCCACCCTTCAAAGAATTTTCAAGTCTTTAGACTCATTAGAAACGTTCCTACAAAAATTATAAACCCAAAGAAAAAACTAAAACCGACCAAAATTAGAAAAGTCCAAAAGTCACTGAACTACCAGTGGAGTAGGAGAAATTACAAGAAACATGATCTCTGGAATTACTTTCATTCTTTTCATAATTTCATTAGACAGAACTAGCTAGATTAAAAATCTGCTTACACAGGATCCTTCCATTAGTGCAATTATATTGCTTGGGATACTTCTACTGTTGTCAGTGATCAATGCTAACAAACTATGCACATATATATTGAAAAATGAGTATTTGTATTAGACATAAAAAGGAGGAAGAGGATCCCTCACCAAAGCTATACAAAAGGAGACCAGCTACTGAAGCCAACCAGGCCACCATCACAATGCAATAAAGCTAGCCGGGACTTTTAACAGAAACAAAAATTAATACCATACCAATGATAACAAAAGTGAGTACAATTAAAACTTAAAAGAATAAACTCCTTGTAAGCTCTTGACCAAAAAGTGATTTGATATTCTATCTTCCCTTTCAGCTGCTCTATATACAGACTTGAAGCTTTGAATATTGTGTTGTTTCTTTCTTGTCATAAGCACCAACTGATTGCAAATGGTAATATTCTCCATAAGATAGAACCTTTTTTGCTAAAACCACTAATCGACCACTCTGCCAGCAGGGATTGAAAGTCTTTTCAGGTCACCCACTGAATTCAAAATAGCTTCAAACAGTGGGACCAGAAACTATGAGCAACCCGGCAATGAATTAGCAGGTGGGATACAGATTCTTGGTGGTTCACACAAAGGCCTCATGTTTTATATTTTGATATAGGTTAGTGCAGTATACATGTCAAAACATCTTCAGAAATTGGGGATCTTATTCAAATGCCTCAAAATCTTCTCAACCATCTGCCTTGTATTCATGTCCCCGTGATGGAAAGCACTCAGCAATTGAGAACGCAGTAACTTATCCTCTGATATATCAGAAAGAGACTTATCCCCACCTTTTGTCAGAAATCTCTCAATCACCCAGAGAGATTTTTGTTGCAAGCCTTCTTGTCTGTGCTCCCTCAGAACATTCAAAACATGTTGAATGGCATTCATTCTATTCAACAAACTCACACTCTTGTCCACATCAACCTTGTCATCCAGCAACGTACGAATAGCTGACAGTGCAGCATCAACCACCTCAACATTTTGATGGTTTAAACAAGACAGCAGCCTCTCCACAGCCTTCGCATCAACTAAGCAAAAGGTGGCTTTTGAAGAACAAACCCCTCGATGAACTGGGCATGCTTGTAAACTCCTACCCTTTGATGGATGGGATGATAGAAACTTGTGTAAGTAGGACTTTGTAGGCTTGGATCTCTCAAGTTTTGGTGGTTTTGATAGATTTATTGATTCTGACGAAAGATTTTCCAACGCAGTTGCTGATAGTTTCTGTACTTCATCACTTTCCACTGTCATGAGTAGTTCTGTAAAAACTGATGTGAGGTTGAGGTTTATTGCCAGGAATAGTATTTGAGGTTCATATAGTGTAGTCGTAAATCTGACAAGAATACCTACTAGGCCTTCTAGGTATGAATATGCAAACTTTTTTGTTCTTGTTCCATTCCTTAGGATCTCATTGATTGTTTCTAGGATTGTGGGGACTGTGTTCTTGTGGAGGAGGGCTAGATTAAGCATTAGGTTTTGGCAGGGAAGCTTTGCTAGGAAGTTGGCTGAAACTGCATCTTTTTCAGTGATTTGATTTATTCCAGTTGGGTTCTTGATTAGGTTCTCTGGTTGACCACTGGTCTTGCAGAGTCTTTCAGCAAGTGTGTGGCCCATGTAGGGTGAGAGTTTCGTGAGAAATTTAATTGATGTGGTTCCAAGTTTATCATGTGGGGAGTTGACCAATTCAATTAGGTCGTAGCTAGCTTCAGTCTCTTTGACAACAGAAACAATGGTTGTTGTTGACTTACGAGACTTCATTAGGCATAGAAGGATTCTGATGAGGTTGAGATTGAGTTCATCAGGGGAAGAACTCTTCAGCATACTGATGATGCTGTACACAACATAGACTGATTCCATTGTGTGACCATGGGTGTTGACTTGGAGATTCTCTGGAGCATGACCAGACTCAAGTATGTTTGCAAGGATTGCAGAAGCTTCTTCCTTGGAATCCATGCACTGATTGAAGATTGTCCTTGTGAACAACTCTTCAACCACGATAGGCAGAGCACCAGCATTGACAAGTGTTTTGCTGTTTGGGTGGTACGATGAGATCTGAACTAGGGCTTTGAATGCTGCCTTCCTTCTTAGGGAGTTTCCACTTTGTACCATTTTAATCAGAACCGAAGAGGTTCTCTCTGCTGCGTACGTTCTGGTCTGCTGCTCAAGAAAAGTTTCCCCAAGGTAGTTTGCCATCTCTACCTGCATCTCTTCATTTCCTGTTTAAATTTATTTTAAGGAAATAGCAGTAGTTAGGATATTGTTTGATGCACAATTGAGTTGAAGCAGAGAAATATCAACTAGTCATACAACAACACTGTCCACAACCTCAGTTTCTTACTTAAGTGCCTGGTTTAGTAATGCATTCCTTGAGTACATAAAAGTAGTGCTACAGCAAATTTCGTTCAGTGTTGAAAAACAGACTAACAGAGCTTAATCTCTAACCCTCACAAGAATAGCAGCCTGGAGGCGTAGAGACATGAATCTATCTTAGAAAGCTTAAAGGGTTGGCCACTTATGGATTCCCTTAATCATCATTAGAAGCATTTCCATGAAAGTGACATAATTAACTTTTCAAGAGACATAACCCCTTTATCATGTAATGGATATAGACCTCCTAAAAAGGACTTTTTCTAACTAATCCAATCCAGTGATTTAAAAGGCGCACCTGAGGTGCACAATGGAGGCGCATTTTAGGGCATGTGCCTTGCCTAGGTGTTAGGCACAACACTTTCAAAAGGCACACACATGCGCCTGATGTGTCTTGCGCCTTAGCCTGTGCCTTTTTAGATTTTCATGCTTTTTTGTTTCATTCATCTTAAAAAAATATCTTCTTAAAAGGCAATTAAAATTATAAAATCATTATTTTTTGTGTGAGAATTAAAAATTTAAGACCCTAACATGGATTTGTTTGGGTTTGCCTTGAGGGGCTTGGTACAAAGGTGACTTGTAGAATCAGTAATACAATATGTTCTACATTACATTAGCTACTTAAAATAATGCAATTGAGGAAAAAAGAGATTGGGGATTTTACATGCTTGAAAATGTTTTATATGTTTGATTTTATTTTTTAATTTTCATTTGAATGTTCTTTACATGTCATGTTTATGTAATTTATTTTAGACAATAGGTTTTTTAAAACATTTATTTCAAAACTTAAGTTTATATTTCTTATTAATATTATGTTTAATATTTTCTGATTTTTTTGCAATTTGTTGGCATTTTTTGAATTTTCTGCAAGGTTCAAAAAATCAATACAATACGCCCCATATCGGGCATATCGTATTGTATCTTTTGGGTCCCGATATGCCTGTTTCCTGGTGTTCGGGACCCCACTATTTTCTAATGAAAAATATAGGTATTAAACTCCCCAAAAACCAAATTTTGAAAAAAAAAATAAAAAAATCATATTTCCGTGTGGCTCAAAGTACTGATACACAGAGGCGTATCGATACTTTGAACCTTGATTTTCTGACTTTCTTTTTTTTGGTTTTTTTTTTGTACTTTTATGTCTTGCTTCAAAAAGGCACATGCCTCAGGCGCAAATTGCCCCTTGCTTTTTTTTTTTTTTTTGCGCCTTGTGCTTTTAAAATACTGAATCCAATGATATAATCAAGCAGCAGTGCTATGATTGAAGGGGAAGTATGGGTATCACTTAAACTATACACTGCTACTGAGTACAGATGGCTTACGGATCCTTTATTCTCTTTCCACTTAGGAAAGATCAGTCCCCATAAGATAGGCATCAGAGCTCAAGAACTTGACTGAGACAAATGCAAGGAACATGCCTAATCCATGCACTATCTGTGAAAACCAAATGAACACTCTACCATAACGTACTCTGTAAATTTTGATGAATCTGAAAGAACTCTATTACATTCTCTTGAGCTGCAGATGCATATATCTACATCAGGGATCATGAATGTTAAGCTATCATATCAAAATTCTGACTGCCATTTCTAGGAAAACAGAAGCAGGAGAGGAAATCCAATTACATTTCCATGATCTCTGCACATGCAGGTAAGTAAAGAAAAAAAGATACTGATCATTATGAGAGAGGAAGAAGTGATGTCATACCTTCAATAAGGTGGTCTAATAGTGGTTCTAAGAGGCCATTATCTGCCATGCAGATAATATTCTTTGGATATTTTGCCAAGTTCTGTAGGATTTCATCTGATTTTTCTGCAGCAAATGCATCAAAAGACTTGTTGTATTTCATTATGATCAGCCTTGGAATGCCCCCGGTATCATATCCAATATTTTTGCAAAGTGATTCAATCCTTGAAAGCTCAAGCAAGAACAACAAAGATGCATGTTTTTCTGGAAGATAATCACTTGACAGCATTCTCATTGTTGTTGAAATTGCTTTTGTCTGTGCAATTGTATCCTACACAGATAGTGCAAAACAAACTAGGATGTGTTAGTAGGAAATAACTTTCCAAATTCAAGTTTGTTAATTTTTTTGGTTGATCAATCAACAATCCTGTTTAGCTACATAACATTCTTCTTCTTTCTGTACTGTAGAACAAAGATATGCGTCCTGGTAAACAGGAAAAGCTCAAACTACCTAGACAAGAAAATTAGGAACTTAAAGATAAATAGGCAGTGGAGGTTTTATACCCACACAATATCAACCAGTGGCAAGCTTGAAAAACTTTTAAAACTGTAGAGTGAACATATCATGCATAGCTCTCTTCTAAATGCCAGGTATATTGATCCCAACAAAGCCAATATTCCCATCTATCTTTGCAACTAAATGTCATAATTGAAGGGATGGCTCTTTATAGAAATTTGAAAATGGTTACTTCCATCTAATATAAAAGGTGTAAGAATAAATGTTTATACACTAAAATTGTAAAACTTGTATATTATATATCATATTATCATGTGTAAATAAGAACAAGAAAAGCACTTATTTAATCTACAAAATGTGTGCTGAATTTCATAAGGGGAAAATATGAGTTCAGGGGGGGAAAGTAAACCTTTCCCTCGTCATCTTTCTCCACCAGTAACCGTAATGTCTCCAATGTTGCACACCTAATGTTCCTGTCTTTATACTCCAGAAGCTGAGTAAGTAATGGTAACATTCCAGCATTACGTGCCTGTACTTTGTTCTGTTGTTTCCTCTGGCAGAGATGCTTCAAATCCTCTAATGCTTCAAGTATCATATTTTCTGAGCTGGCCAATGACAAAGCAACCCAAGCAACCTTGATCCTTGATGCTTCATTTCTTTCTTTCCATTCTTCTATTGCCTTCTTTAAAGCTATATTGGTTTTCACATTTCTACTTGCTAGTTTCTTCCTTGTTGTTGGGCAGATCACATCAGAACCATCTTCAAATGTATTGAACCACTCTATTATAGCCCTCCTCTCATATGTCACACCACTTCCAACTGTGACTGGGTCATCCATAATCTTCTGTGTAAGTGGACAGAAAAAGGCCTCATACAGAGGCTCAATGTAATCAGCCACTTGTGGCAATGTTTTCAAAGACAAGTTGCTACTGTTTTCAGAGATCAGTTGATTACTAGAACTCGTGCCTCCAGAGAATTCAGTGAGATTTTCTGTATCAAATGACTGAGGTTCATCAACATAAATTTCAACATTGATGGGGTAAAGGTCAGTTTCCATTGTTGTGGGTTCTCTCTCTGGTAAATGCTCCAAAGGCATAACCTGTACTGCTGTTTTGGTCTCTGATATTTCATTTCGATTAATTTCAAAGTGAATATTTTGTATCTCCTTTGAAAGAGGCCGGACCTGTATTACCTCTTTGGTCTCTGAGATTTCAGTTGGACTAATTTCAAACTGAGCATTTTGCATCTCAGTTGAAAGAGACCGTACTGCAGCTTCTGCATATTCTTGGCCCTTGAATGTTGAAGATGGTATTAAGCTCAGTCCTTCACCTATGTCTTTTACAACTCCCTCCAGCTGTTTTATTATGGTTTTGACTTCTGTATATGGAATAGAATGGCATTCAGTTTGGCATTTCCCCAGAAGATCCTTCACATGATTGATGCTTTTAGATAGATTATGTAAAATCTCATTTGCATTTGATGGGGTATTCTCAGTAGTCTGCAACACCATTATTGCTGGAGAAGTGCGATCAAGGTAGCATCCAACTTCCATGAAGTTCTCTCGTTCTATCTCTATACATACAACTGAGGCTGTGATTTCTGAAATGGATGCCAAGAGTGACTGACCAAGAATTGCACTTGGGCTTGTATTATCAACCAGCTGAAGTGGAGAAGATACAAACTAATTTAGTTATACAACAGCGTTATTCCCAAGTTTGATTTTACACTTCAAATAACTGGTTAAATCTTATACAATTTGGAGACAGACATGCATCTCCATATCACAAAGATTCAAAGATCCCTGAAAACTGACTCACAAAGAATATACCTGGAAATAGACAATAAACATTAAAATTTTATAAATTTTGTACATGTAATTGCTGAAAACAAGACATACGACAGGTTTTGTTGGAATGTGTCTGAGACATGGCCAAGGTTGAAACCCCTGACATTTGGCATAATAATCTCTTCTTGAGAGATGTTTTTTCAAATTAAAATATTTAAACTTTATATTGTCTGTTAACTTGGGTAAAACTCCAATGCAAGGGAAGAAAAATCTGCTGCAATTGTTGTTAGATGTGACCCCTGATGAAACACAGAGACAGCAGTTTTTGAAATAAAAAATCAAAGGATTTGTTGTCTTGAATTTATTTAAAACGCTGGTGTGTCCATATGTCATTGGGAGATGCATGCAACCATGGTCACAGAAGATGTGATGCAAGGTGGAGTACAGGGCTCATTTTGACTTGGTGAGTGCATGCATGGCTGGCCTAGAAGTTCCCTAACTAATGGATGGTCTGGATTGACCACAGGGTTCCTCCACATTGCAGAAACATGTTGGGTTGTCTGGTAAGATTTGCTGCTTGCTGTTATATGTGCACAAAATTTTCTTTGACCCTTTTCTATCAATAAGTTTTCTTCGAGCTTTCATCAAATGGGAGTGACTTTCTATAATGTCACGTGCAGGCTCTGTTCTGAGGAGCAAGAATCTGTTGATCGTCTATTTCTGCACTTTAGCTTTTCTTCTAAGGTATGGGCAAGGTAGTTAGGACTATTTGGAGTTCAGACATGCTTTCCTGAATCAGTGGAAGCCTTATGCTGAAGTTGGCATACCAAGGCTCAAGGGTTTGAGTAGAAGAGGAATTGTCTGGAACATGATTCCTTTGGCTTTATTGTAGGGTGTATGAGCTGAAAGGAATGCAAGAACAAAGAAACAGATGAAGAACCGGTGGCTAAGAAAGTGGTTGACATGCTGTATTCTTCAATGTCAGTTCATCAGTTAACAAGCTATTCAGGCGAGTTCCATATGATTCTTTTTTTTTTTTCTGACTTTGATACCCCTTTAAGAAAAACAGATGAATAGAATACAGTGATGGTATTAGTGTGATCTCCAATTGTACAGCTCCTCATTGTACAGGGGTACTGCTTTGATGCATTAATGAATACAATACCTTGCCTTTTCAGAAAAGTTCAAAAGAAAGGTTTTCACTGATCCTTGATAACCCTAGACCACAAGGATAAATTGGGGACTATCAAGGAACTTATGTCACGCTTTGTCTTCTTATCACTTTCTGTACACTAAACAAAAGATCAATGGTGCCGATACCATAACAAATTCCAAATTTGTTGAATACTTGAATTTGGTAAATTGCCATAACTTCTATGACTTTGGTACAAGTACTTATAATTAAACTAAAACAATATCAAAAGAGGAAAGTAGAATGATACACAACAAAAACAAAGCTGTCCTAACTTGACATATTTGCACAGGGTTGGGCTAAAATACAATAATCATGGGCAGCAAGCATCGTTTATGTTGCCTGGGTACTGTAAATTCCAAAAGCTGACAAAACGAACTTGAAATGCAAAAACCACAGACAGTAAGCAGCAATTATAGCACATCACAAACCCCTTAAAAAGATTAGGATGCTCCTTTTTTCTTTCTTTTTCCTTTTAAAGTGGATCGAAACTGGTGCTTTGGTTTTAGTTCTTCGACTTCTCAAGAAGCTTGCTGTTATGGGTTATCTTATCTATAATCTATATGTTCAAGCTGAACATGGTAAACACCTCGTTAGACAGGGACTAGGAATTCACTGAACAAGGACACCTCGTTAGAAGCTCCAATAGCTTCGCATCATATCTCCAAAGCAAAGCATGACCAAATTTTGTTTGCAAAACTATGAAAACATAAAAATTTCTTAAGGCAAAGAAGAAAATGGCTTACCGACATGCGACTGGAACTACTGCCTCAATTGATCTTCCTGCTGGGAGAATCGAACTTCCTTCCCTTAATCATGTTGAGGAAGCTTTCTTAGAGAAGATCATCAACCCATTAAAGCAGCCTGTCATTCATAACCTCTAACCTTCATTTCATTTTCCCATTCAAAGTGACTGACATCTCTTGTTGCAAAAGTCAGTAGTCGGGTCGTTCAGATTTTTGAAGTCTTCCTCCCATTAAAGTAGCGAGACTGCGAGACTGCGAGACTCCCTTCTAAACGACCCATGAATCTTCAACTCAAAATGGGTCCATATGTTTCTTTCGACACGCTCCATTCGTGGGCTAGTTCCTAGTTGGCATTCTTGGAGTGATTCAGAAATCTCTCCTGCTAGACCCATTACTCGATCAGGGGACCATTTCTTGTCATAACTACCTCCTCGGTACGGTAGAGAATTCAAGGAACTGACTCAATCAGATCAGCTCCCAGAACACACTGGAAGAGAAGTTATTGAATGATCTTCTTGTTTCTAATTCCATGGCTCTTGACATCTGTTCAAGAAATTTCACATCGGCTGCACCAAGGGTTGTACAATAGTTTTTGTTGACTTTTTAATGAAGCATGGACAGGCTAGTAATAATCCAACCAAAAGTCAAAATCGTCTTAAAGTTTTGAATTAAAAAATTATAAATGGAATCGTGTATTCGTGTTCGTGTTCAGGTTTTATTGGGTAGTGGCTAGAATTTGTGGAACGATGAATTCTCATTTGAGTTTTGTTCAAGATATCTAACTGCAACTCTGAAAGGTTGGCCCATTCAATAAGGAAAACAAAAACAATTAGGCAAACTACTCCCAACCCAGTCAGACCAATTACATAGTCATTTTTTTCATTGAGTCAGACGAATAAGATAATCTGTATCACCAATATTTTTCTTTGGGAATATTCTTAATCAATACCATTTACTATATTACTTTAAAGGTTGTTTCAAATCAGTCCTCATGTCTTTGCAATAGCTGAACTTTTAAAAACTGTCTCAATAGGCCCCTGCTGTTAATAGCCCATCAGTTATCTATATCACGTGATAACATGTGCCATTTAATATTTTTGAAAATATTAAAATTATCTTTTAAAATAAAACACTGTTAATTATCGACTGGAGATACTGTTCACAATCTTCTACCAAGGAAGAGGGTCCTCATATTCTCAGTAAACTGGTCATGTAAAGTAGAGGCTCTCGTCTCCCCCATCTATCTATTGTCCCACATTCCTATAAAAATACACTGCTGCTGGCATACGTACAGAGATGGAAGGCACTGAACATTGAAAACAGTCTCCACTCTCCATCATGCTCACTCAAAAACTTCATAAGACCTCCGAAATTTTAAGACAGAACCGAGAGGACAAACACAAGCTAACACTAAACCAAAAATACACAAGTAAAAGAAGGCAAACCCAGCTGTTACAGGCCTATATGAGGAGGAGGAAACCAAAGAGACTGCAGTTTGAACAATAATGCCATCGAAAACACAATAAGATGAATGAGAGAAAACAATAGACTTCATTGATTTGGTTCAATGAAGTTCCTTGTTTTTATAGAGTTCACAAGATTTTAGTTTACATAGGTCTCATACAAGATAAGATTAGATTAGTAAGAGTTCTAAATAGAGTACAACCAAGAGATCATGCTAATCTGAAACTATAAGAGATAGCTATCTCTTAGTATCCTTATCCAAGTTAGATTTGGAACTGGAATCCAAGTTAGATCCAGGACTGAATACATGATTATCTCCAATATGCCCCCTCAATCTGAACGGCATCATGTGAAGCTTGGACCAAAGGAGACCAAAACGTGGTGTAGCCAATGGTTTTGTGAAGACATCAGCAACTTGAACTTCAGAACAGATGTACCAAATGGACAGTTTGTTGTGCATGCATTGATCGCGGAGGAAGTGGAAGTCAACCTCAACATGATTGGTACGAGCATGAAACATTGGGTCTGCAGCAAGGTATGTAGCACCCAAGTTGTCACATCAGACTATTGGTTGTAAGACAAGGAAGCCTAAATCGGCCAGAAGGGATTGGATCCATAAGACTTCTATGATTGTATTAGCAAGCGATCAAAATTCAGATTTAGTGCTAGAGCGAGCAACAGTGTGTTGCTTTTTGGAACTCCAACTAATGAGATTACCACCCAAGTAAATGGCAAAGCCTCCAGTAGAACAGCAGCCATCTCGACAGCTGGCTTAGTCAACATTAGTGAAAGAATTGAGGTGTAAGGAAGTAAAGGATGAAAAATGGAAACCATGATCGAGTGTACCCTTCAGATAATGCAGGATACGTTTGATGGCAGACCAATGTTTATCAGTTGGAGATTATAGAAACTGACAAACCTTGTTGACCAAAAAGGAGATATCAGGTCGAGTAAGAGTGATGTATTGCAATGCACCGACGACACTCCAATACTCAGAGGGATTTGAGAGAGGGGTACCAGACGTTCGACTCAGTCATGCAAATGCCGCCATAGGAGAGTTGTAAGGTTTAGACCCATCTAACTTGGTGCGTTGTAACAAATCTAGGATGTAGTGTTTCTGAGAGAGGTGAAGGCCATTAGAACTAAACTAAGCTTCGACACCAAAGAAATAGTGCAAAGGTCCGAAACCTTTCACAGGAAAAACTGCAAAGAGGTTCTGAAGTAGAGAGGTAACAGCAGAAGAGGAGTTACTGATAGTGATGATGTCATCGACATAAACCAATATGTACAAAAATGTGGAGTCATGCTTGTAGATAAATAAAGATGGATCAGCCACTGAGCTTCAAAAACCCAAATCAAGAAGTGTCGAAGTCAACCGAGAATACTTTGCACGTGGAGCTTGTCGAAGACCATACAGAGCCTTGCACAGTTTGCAGACATGATGAGTGTAGTCAGGGTGTTCAGACCCCCTTGGACTGATGTACATAAATGTCTTCAGTGATGAGACCACGGGGAAAAGCATTATTGATGTTCAGTTGTTGGATAGGCCACTGATGAGCAGCTGGAAGAGAAAGAATGGTACAAACAATGACTGGCTTCACTACGTGACTAAAAGCATTATTGAAGATAATCGTGTACTCAGTCCCAGATCTAGCTCTGATACCAAGTTTGAACAATGATACTATCAAAAACACAACAAGATGAATAAGAGAAAACAATAGACTTCAGTGATTTGGTTCACTGAAGTTCCTTGTATTTATAGAGTTCATAAGAGTTTAGTTTGCATAGGTATCATACAAGATACGATTAGATTAGTAAGAGTCCTAAATAGAGTACAACCAAGAGATCATGTTAATCTAAAACTACAAGAGATAGCTATCTCTTAGTATCCTTATCCAAGTTAGATCTGGAACCGGAATCCAAGTTAGATATGGGACTGAATACATGATTTTCTCTAATTACGACAAATCTATCTCCTACAACGGGTGATCCTTGAACACCCCCTCTAGTGTATGGATGAACAGGGCCTCTAGCCTTGTAGTAGTGTGTAATGACCTTCCCAAGCGAGGTGGGCATGGGATCCTGTTGGTAGAGAGAGCACCATACGAAATGTAGTAGTGAGTCATCCTCTAGAATAGGGACCTCCGACCAATCCCACTATCTAGAACTGCCTCCTCACCAAACTCATTGTACAACGATATTGTCGATGGCCATTCGAGGGCCTCTATCATTAGCTGGTAGTGGAATGTGTATATGGTAATCGATGATGTGGCTAATTAAGAGAGCACTGTGAACTGTGATGGAAGCCTAGCTCAATAGCCCCTATGCCAAATCCCATCCTCCCTTATCTCAGTGGTTGTGTACGATGCTAGTTGTTTAGGCTATGTTTGGTTTGAAGGAAAAGGGAAAGGTCGAACCATCAACCCAGAAACCGGTGGCCAAAACAGTTCCAATTGTCGGTCATTTTTTAAAACATTTTTAGGTATTACCGGTGGATCCTGTTAACTGTAAAACTTGAAGGCCTCGTAAGACCTTACTTAGAGGATTATTGATCAAAAGTTCCTGAGAGACCTTGTTCTTTAAAAAAAGTCTTTTTGAATGTGTTGGGCAATTCCTTCGTAAAAAAATAATTCATTTGAACAAAAGTTTATTATGGTTTGGACGGTGATAACTCTGCATTTTGATGCCTTAAGGGCATCATTTCAGGGGTATTTTCGACTTTAAAATAGTCAAAGTATACACTTTTCCCAGTTAAAGTCAATGTTGTGACCTCTGAGGGTCTCTATGCAAATTCTATGGAAAACTTGGGAAGCTACATGGCTAAAATGCAATTTTTGGGAAGCTTGTGCGAAGTCCAGCTAAGAGAGGGGGTGTTTTTATGAAAAACTGAGAACGGGAGGGTGCTTCCTATCTGCTAAACCTAGTTTGGCGCCCCTCCTTTTGTATTAGCATGCTCTCCTCTCCTTAGAAAACTTTAGGGCAACTTTTAACTTATTCTTTTCCTCCTTAGCAAACCCTAGCCGCCCCCAACTGTTTAATCTCCACCCTTAACTCCTTCTAATTTCTACCACTCAATTTAGGGCACTCTTTTCGTAGCTTTTAAACCCTAGAGTACCACCTAACTGCTAATCCTCACCATTTAGCCCCTAACCACTAGATCTCAGCCCTCCATTCCATCTTCTATCTCAGCCGTCCACTCTAGGGCACCACCCACCTCTTTTAATCTCCACCTTTCAGCCCTAGGCACCTCAATCTCTACCATCTATTTCTGGGCGCCCAAATCTCAGCCCTACATAATCTTGGGCGCCCTCTCCTTCTATTCTCAACCTTAGGATCACCCCAAGACCATCCTAACCCTCCATTAAAAACCTTAGGGCGCCCATATCTTTGCTAAAACCCAGCTGACGCCCCCTTCTTTCTCTCTAATCCCAATTGTATCCACCCTTCTATATAAAAAGGACCCAAGAGCTCCTGAGAAAGGGTTGGATTCCGCCCCCAGGTAAGACGAAAGGTTGATCTTGAGAAGTTCAAGGGTAGAGGAAGAGGAGGATGCGCAGGCAAGAGGAGGGGTTCCTACTTGCAGTTCGCCAACACCACTGCTGCCACATCTGGAATCGGATCCCAACCACTTTTTCTTTATTTTTGTTTTAATTTCTGTTCTTTCAATTCCAGTTTCGTTATTTCCTTTCTGCAATTTATTTTCATTCTGTTTTATCTTCATTTTCTTTTATACAAATCTGCAATTTGGCCAGGTAAGACGGAAGGCCTAGCTTGAGAAGTTCAAGGGTCAAAGGAGAGATCTAGAGGTTGCTACCTCTGATTGGATTACAGATTTTTTATTTCGTTTCCTTCATTTATTTATTTCTGTATTTATTTATTTTTTTGCACTTTTAACTTTCAGCAATATCTGAATTCTAATTTTTCCAGATTAATTAATTAATTTCTGTATTTCTGCAAGTTTCACTTGTGTTCTCTTGTCTGGATTTGAGTATGTATTAATTTCCCCTCGCTTCCCTGTGGATACGACCTGTTCTCACCCTTTTACTGTGCTTGTAATTGTTTGAGAATTGGGAAAATTTTATAAATAC